AATCGTATAATTCCTGACTACCGAAAACACACGTGTGGCTGGATTGTACGTCTACTCCCCAGATGATCCCTGATCACGTTCACACAATAAGGGCTCATTAGACCCATGGCCATAATAATAGGATAGTGCACTCCCAATTAGGCAGGTCCCTGACCATACCCAAAAGTCATCATAGGGTCAGTCCCTGACTACCCCTCCGACTAATCTGAACTCATCCATTAATTGCTAATTATAGTGAATTATGAAATATATTATTAATTAATAATTAAATTAATAATTAATACACACAAATACACTTTTAATTTAAAAACAGAACTCTAAAGACCCAACTAGTGAGAGTACAAAATTTCTAGATAAAGCCTAACATTAAATATAAGACCCTGCAAAATTTCAGAATCTAACTCCTAATAGTTTTTCCGTACTCTCCCTTTTAGTGCTGAAAAATAATACTTTTTCAGGTCTTAATTTCGTAAAACCATCAAACAGTCATTTTACAATCTGTATTTCAGCACAACTAAGTTCAGTGCACTTAGAACTAATATTCTAGAAATTTCCTAAGTTATTGGGATAACAATACTATTTTTCCTAATTTTCTTTAGTTTAAAATCAATTAAAACAGTAATAATTAAATAAAAAGAAAATTATTTTATATTGCACACAGAACCAATCCGTTTCAAATGTCCAGTTTAAACCCACGTCATTCACTAACAAATTAACATGCAATCTGACCCATCTATGTCCAGTTAAATCATTGTTTAGTAAACATATGTATTACATATACCATTATGTACCCAGTAACCAACACCTCCACATGGTTAACACGAATCAATGAATACATATTTTAAAATAATATGTATATATATAACAAAAATTCTATAATTATATATATAATTATTTTCGCAAGTTCATATATATAACAAAAATTCTATAATTTTATATATATATATATATATATATATATATATATATATATATATATATACACACTACAAGAATTTGGGTTATTGGTGACAGTCCTTTAGGGATAGTAGGAAAACTGTCCCTAAAGACACCCTTTTTGGTGACACTATATTCCTTCCTGTCCCTAAAAGACCAAAAAAAAATTAGCACCCCCTCCAATCTGCTGGCGGCAAAACTTAGCTCCAATTTTGGTGAAATTATAACTTTTTTTAATAAAAAATTATCAAAATAGCCTTTTGGGACGGTAATGTTACCGTCCCAAAAGGATATTTAAGTGAAATTATATTGTTTTAATAAAAAATTATCAAATACGCTTTTGGGACGATAAGTTACCGTCCTTAATTAACTGTACATATATTAAAACGACGTCGTTTTTGTCAAGTTAAGTATATATCTATATATATATTTCTTATTCGATGTGTGTCTGAAGATTGTTTCTTGCCAGCCCTATCTCGATTTCTCCTTCCGTCCTCTCTCTCAAATTGGTTTGTTCTTCCCTAGCCGATTTCTTTCTTTTCAATTAAGTATAGATCTATATATGTAATCCATGAGGGATCACTCTGCTAAATTTCTTATGCCCTAGGTCGATTTTCTCCTTCTGTCCTCTCACTCAAACTGGTTTGGTCTTCCCTAATCGCTCTAATTCAATTCAATTGAGAGGCAGCAAAGTCCGTCCATCAACAGGTCCATTATCTTCTCACAAACCCTTCTTTGTCATTTTTGAATATTCTTCTTATGGATTCCGGTGTTGTAAGTGTTAGATGTGCTAATCTTCTTGGTGATGGTCTTTAGCTGTGAATCGAATATTGATTGAATTTGTATTCCGAAGTTGGAATGATTGTTGGCAAATTGATGTCTAAGATGTTTGCATGGTGGTTTAATTCTTTTTTCCTTCTTTTGTTTCGATCTTGGTTCTAAATATCTCAGATAGGTATATCCTTGGAATTTCTCAATAAGCATCTGAACCAATAAGCATCCTTCTTTTAATTGTTATTATTTTATTTATTATTATTTTTCCCTAATATAGCAGGTTTTGGGTTTAGGTTATATTTCATATCATGATTCCTTTCATCTTTCTTACCCACGACATCAGGTCTTGGTGGTGTGCGAGGTGTGGCTTAGGGAAGAGCACGACAGCTGTGGTCGATTGATGGTGCGAGTGGTGCGTTGGTGGTCGATTGGTGGTGCATCGGAGGTTTGGACAGTGGTGATTGAAGGGTTGGGCTCTTGTAAGTTGTAAGTACTTTAAACCCTAATTTTCCTTCTTGTTCTTATGATGAAAATTCGCACAAAATCAGACAAAGCTTCTCTCTCATAACCAAAATAATAATCGTAGTGTGGGTACATGGTACTGTTATAAGAAAATATATGTTTTCAAAGTATAATGATTACCATAATTACATGGTCTTCCATCTTTTCTGAGAAATTATATTAACCTGTAGGCTATTTTGAGTTTAGAATGAAATCCCAAGGTTTTAATTATCCATGTGAACTTACACCATGTAATTTAATTGACAGTTGATGAACATTTGTTCAAAAAAAATAATCTAGTTGAAATCACATATTACATTACAGGTTTCCAATAGAATTAGGGAGTTTAGAGGATGCCTTTGTGTGCTGAGTCGTCGTAACATTAATGGTGATGGAGGGATATGGCGTGACCCAATCTTGGAAAAAAGTTGTTATTGAAACTCCATCTTTTATTACAGTGGATTTGATTTTGCCGAGGAGCGATGAATTATTGATTTTCTGCTGGTTCCAATTTTTATTTTTTATTTTATGTGCCTTTTTTGTTTTTCCGGAAGGGTTGGAGGAATCCCTATGTTAGCAAAAAGCATACTTATGAATTGCTCGGAATACCAGCAAAAAAGAGCGCTGTAACCAACTAAAAAGGGTGTGATCCATCTCTCTACAAACTTCTTTGTAGTTCAAAATCGGCATATTGATCTTGAATTGGCTTAGTGTTGTTTTCAGTACAAATGAATACTGCTCGGGTTATTTGTTGGAAAATAAATGCAGGAATATGGTGTTTAGTGTTTTTAACTGCTTGTTGATTTGCCATACTTTTGGAAGTTGTGTAATTGATAGTTAAACACCAGCAAAGTTAGTTTTTTTCTTTTTAATTTATGAATGCACCAGAAGTTACTTGAACTGATTTTGACATTATAATTACTTCTGCAGGTTTCTTGCCTCTTGGAGAATGATATTGATGTTGTGGTGTAGCTAGTTCAAGATTATGATCTATATCCACTTATGCTTAATTGCCTCATTGATGGGTAAGCCACCAACCATTCCTTTACAGTTTTGCATTTTGCTTTCATTTTTTTCTCATGATGAACTATTGTTTGCCAAAGATTTTGGCAAGATTGTTTTATGGAACATAAAAGAGAGGACCAGTTGGGATTTAATACTTCCAGGAATTTGAGATGCAAGTAGATACAAGGTTTTAAGAGTAGGAGGTTGTGTGGAGAGCCTCGTATCACCTTTCATGGGTGTTTGAACAAAAGAAAAATTAAAATTAAAAAAAATCAAGTTATGTCTTTTCAGTTATTGTTGTAGTTGTTTTTATTTTTTGTTTTTTTGGTATGTAATGTAATATAGTTTTCATCCATTCTGAAATGGTTTCATCTCCAGTGAAGGTCTCAACATAATTGGAATTGATCCTCTCTGTAATTTTCTCAGGTATCTAGAATGCAAGTAATCAAGGCCCTCTTCCCACATCTGAAAAGGCCGTCTAAAACATATATACTACATAATTCACAAGTAAGTGCACAAGGGTACTTATTTTTTTGTAGGATTATGGAGTGTGAGATTAAAAATATAATACAGAAGTGAAATCAGGTTGGGTTCTCACTTCTAAGACTACATGGCATTCTTATTGAGGTTTGGAAGTGTCCAGAAGATGATGGTGTGTCTTGACTTATAAAATTGTTTAATAAGATGATAACAACTAAACAAATGCATACTAATTTTAGCTCAGTCAAAAAAAAAATTATCTTATTGATTTAGGTACGGAATAAATAAATAAATAAATCAAAAAAAGAAAGATCTTAGTAATTTATCCATTACCAAACAAAAAAAAAAAAAAGGATTTTATAACTGTGACTTTTATATTGTTCTCAATTGTAGGCTGTTGCAAAGTAATTTAAACTTAGTGAGTCCGAGGTTGAAACACAGGGAAATGGGAAAATAATAATTTAGTGTTTTGTCCTTGTCCAACCCCAATCTCCATGGCCCAGATTACAACATCACCGGCACTTCAAATTGCCGGTTTATACTGTTAAAATGAGAGTTTACTATAATATACCGGCGAATAAAACCGCCGCTACTTAAACTTTCACCGGCGGTTATATGCATCCGCTGGTAATTATTACAACCTCGGCGGTTTCCTAAAAGCCGCCGGTGAAATCTAGCAGCAGTGCCTATACCGGCGGTTACACCAAACCGCTGGTAAAGGAATTACCAGCATTTTATATATATTATAGCGGCAGTCGAAACCAGAGCTGAAAACCTTATTTGTTGTAGTGAGAGTACTCTTGTTGTTTTTTATAATCTCTAATTTTGTTATCTTATTTTGTTTTAAATCTATTGCTGAGTTTATTATAAAAATCTCTATGATCAAAGGGATTTGTAGGTAAGATTAAATTTGATTGTAAATATTGTTTTCTTTCCTCAGTTTCTTTGAATACTTGTACTTAGTAGTTATATTTTCTGTGTACAAAATTGTCGCTTTAGGCAAGTCTGATTCATTTGTCTAGTTTGTTTCTCATATTTAATTCTCACTAAGAGTTATCTTGTCAAAATGTAAACATTCCCTATCCTGGCAACCTCTCAATGTTTGTTTGTTAATCACTATATTGGAATACATGTTTGTCCCATTCCAATAGCTTTGAGATGTTCATTGGAATGATTGAATTTCAGTTTGTATGGGCTAGTTGATTGAGTTTTTATTCTGTTGTTTTATGGGTCATAAAACTGATACCTCTTTACTAGTTCACTGTGAAAGGAGAAGCTTTTGGCATGTTTCGATGTCTGTGGAATTTGAATTGTCTTGTATTTTGTCTATTTACTAATTTGCTGTTGTCAATGGGGTTGACATCTTGATTATTTAAAATGAAACTATCATCATATAATATGGTAGGCGCTAATGATTGTAAAAAAAGTTGAAATAGTATAATTTCCTCGGATGCTGTTGTCCTGTGCTATTGATTCTTGTTTTATTCTACGATTTTGGGTTTTTTTTATTATTATTTTTTATTTATTTTTTATTTATATATATTTTTTAAAGATTTTCATTGTATACATTAAGATAACGGTGCCTGTATAATTCAATCCATCTTTAGCATGTTCACTATATTTCTCTTTGTTTTCAATCGTCAATAAGAAGCTAATTGCATAAATGGTTCCATGCAGGAACAAGGGAATTTTATTTGTTGCTATTGACCAAAATAGACCTCTCTCAGATCAAGGTCGTTTTGACATTGTTTTGCACAAGGTTAGTGGAAACTTATGTTTGTATTACCACCTCCTCTGTTGTCTGTGTACGTTAATTTTAATTTTACCATAAAGGTCCCAGATGCTTTTCATGTTTTATGAGTTGCTTGTTCTGTTTTGTTGTGTTATGACTTATGATTGATTACAATTATTACCTCTCGTGGGGTTGGTGATGGTTATTATGTATCTCTTTCTAACAGACACAATTACGCATTCTTGCACTTACACACATTCACATGAGTGAACACGCAAATATCGTCAATATATTTTTATTCTTACCTTCTGCATATCTTTTAGGGAAAATATTCATAGATGGGGATAAGATGATGATCATTTTTTGAAAAAAATTTCTCTTATTCTTTTAATGCAGTTATCAGGAAAAAAGTGGCAGCAGATTCTTGAGGTTGGTCCATTTAAATCATTATATGTTCAAGTTTATTATAAGAACTTGTTAGTATACTATTATACTATAATCCCCTGCTTAGTGCTTAGATCTTCTTCTAAAACTTTTTCCTTCCTGTTTCCTTCTGCCAACTATATTGGTTTTTTTTTTTTTTTTATAATTATTATTTGCCTCACCATTGCTGTTGATTTTTCATTAGAATGCCACTCGATTGGTATACTATTTGATATATTTAGACATAATATCGAATTTTCTCATGCGGGGGTTATAAAAAATTGCATTGATAATGTCTGTTGTGCAATCAGATTTCTTAGTGCTTGAACTCTTTCATGCCTGACATAATTTGTAAAATACTGGCTATTTAACCTACCATGAATCATTATCCAATCATTGTGGTCAAACCTACCCATGGACTGTTTTCTAAGCCTTTTCTCTTTTCTTTTCTTTTTTTCCCTCTTTCCTTCGCAGAATATTTTCAGTTTCTTTAAATAATTTCATTTTTTTAGGTTATATTGCTACCCTTTTATATCATCTGAGCAAGGGAGACCTAAACTAATCTTATATCAACAGGTTAATCTTAGTCATTTTTTCAGTAGAAAGTAGGTCCTATTATTTTCCTTCTTGGGTAATAGAGATTTGGAGATTTTGCAGGGTAAAAGTGTTTTCTTGTGTGTGAAATATAACTTTTTGTGATTGACGTGATTTTAAAATGATGGTGGAATATTTGTCGCGCCAAAGTGATTGTAACTATGAATATTGAAATATAACTTTTTGTGATTGGCTTCTTTTTCAATATTCGCCATCTGTATGCTTTTTTTTTTTTTTTTTCTTTTCTGGCCATCTGTATGTTTTTTCTTTTTCTTTCTAAGGTCAAATGACTTGTTTATAATTGATATTCTAACTTTTTTATTTTTTATTTTATGTAAAATGCCAGTTAGATGGATAAGTCTTGGATTCATCATCACACCAGGGGTAGTCGAACCTATTTTGATGGCATAGAAAACTTCATTAAGGTGGCTAGTCGTCATTTACAGATAGGCGGTATTACCCGATGTCCATGTCGTCGTTGCAAAAACAAGGAATATCTTGAAATTAAACAAGTTAAGTAATATCTCTTGAGTAATGGGATGGACAAGGGGTATACCAATTGGATATATCACAGGGAGGTTCCTCAAGCCAACAATAATGTTAATATTGATGCTAATGTTAGTGGGGAAAGTGCCCATGATGAAGATGGAAATGTAGATAATGTATTTGAGTTGTTGGATAACGTACAAATGGGAAACTTCAATAATGCACAACAACAAGAAGATTCGCCTGAAGTTGATGTGGGAGGAGGAAATTTTGCTAGATTGTTAAATGATGCACAGTGTGAATTGTGTGGCCAGGTTGTCAAAAATTCTCGAAGTTGTCAGTGATATTAAAGTTATTCCATGTGAAGGTTATGACTCGAATGAGCAATAAATCATTTGGCATGATGCTTATGGTATTTAAGGAGATGCTTCCTGACAACAATGTGTTACCAAAGTCTCACTATGAGACTAAAAGCTTGTTGCGAGATTTGGGACTCGGATATGAGTGTATCCATGCATGTAAACATGATTGTGTTCTATTCTGGAAAGAGAATGCAGGTAAGGAAAATTGTCCACAATGTGGTGAGTCGAGGTATAAACCTCACAAAGGTAAGGGTAAGAAAATCCCTCAAAATTTTTTTTGATACTTCCCTTTGAAATCAAGACTTCAACGGTTGTTTATGTCGAAGGATACAGCCTTAGATATGCGGTGGCATAAGGAGAAACGTGTGAAGGAGACAAATGAGTTAAGACATCCGGCTGATTCAAAAGCTTGGGAGGATTTTGATAATAAGCATAGTTAGTTTGCTGCTGATCCTCGTAATGTTCGTGTTGGATTAGCAACTGATGGATTCAATCCATTTGGTAACATGAGCAATTCTTACAGTATGTGGCCTGTGATGATTGTGCCTTATAATTTGCCACCTTGGATATGTATGAAAGAATCGTATGTGTTCATGTCATTGCTTATTCCTGGTCCAACCTCGCCTGGTAATGATATTGATGTGTACCTGCGACCTTTAGTTGAAGAGTTAAAAGAATTGTGGAGGGATGGTGTGACGACGTATGATGCCTACAGTAAATGTAACTTTAAAATGCATGCGGCAATGATTTGGACCATTACTGACTTTCCCGCCTATGCGATGGTTTCTGGATGTATGATGAAGGGTTATCTAGCATGTCCAAATTGTAACGAAGAAACATGTTCTTGTTATTTGAAACACGAATGGAAGTTATGTTATTTGGGAAGTCGTATGTTTTTGTCACTAGATCATGTTTTTAGGAAGCGATACAAGCAGTTTAATGGTAAGAAGCAAGATAAAGGGCCACCAAAGCAGTTGACAGGTGATGATATTCTGGAACAACTTAACTGCATACCCGAGGTTAGTTTCGGAAAGGGACCAAATAACAAAAAGCGAACTCGTGAAAATTTTGAACTTAACTGGACAAAGAAGAGTATTTTCTTTGAACTACCTTATTGGCAGACCCTTTTGTTGCGGCACAACCTAGACATTATGCATATAGAGAAAAACATATGCGATAATGTGTTAGGGACATTATTGGACATTGAAGGTAAAACGAAGGATACATTCAAAAGTCGGTTGGATTTAGAAGCAATGAAGATTAGAAAAGAACTACACCTTAAGTGTAATGGTGAAAAATTTGAGATGCCACGAGCGCGCTACACATTGTCAAAGAATGATAAAAAGCAATTCTATGAATGGCTAAAATCAGTTAAGTTCCCAGATGGCTATGCCTCGAACATAAGTCGGTGTGTGAATGTTAATAATTGTAAGATATCTGGATTGAAAAGTCATGATTCACACGTTCTCTTACAGCGCCTCCTCCCCATAGCTATACGAGGATTCTTAGATTCGGATATTTGTAACGCAATAGCAGAGCTTGGTTTATTCTTCAAGGAATTGTGTTGTCGAACTGTTAAAGTGGATGTCTTAGAGGCAATGGAAAGGGACATTGCTATTATACTATGCAAGTTGGAGATAATATTTCCTCCGTCATTTTTTGACATTATGGTGCACTTGGCTCTGCATTTGCCGCGTGAAGCCATTATTGCTGGCCCCGCACAATATCGGTGGATGTACCCCATTGAAAGGTACTGTACTTTTTTTAATACACAAATTTTTTTTTTTTATGACAAGTTCTAATGGTCTGTTAGATTTAATATTTGTAATAGTTTTAATGGTTATGTAGATTTTTGCATACCCTCAAACTGTACGTGCGTAACAAAGCACGTCCTGAAGGGTCCATTGCTGAAGCTTACTTAGATAATGAATGCTTGACATTTTGTTCAAAATTTCTCGGAGGGATTGAGACACGGTTCAATCGAGAAGAAAGAAATAATGAGGGGGATTGCAACAATAATTGGACCACTATTTCAGATCTAAAGCAAGTAGTTCGACCTCTAGGGGCGCAAAGTTTGGAGATATTGTCTCGTGAGGACATGGAAATGGCTCGATTGTACGTGTTACAAAATTCTGGAGTAGTTGAGTCATACGAAGAGTAAGTAACTTATTACATGTCATATCATGTCAGCCTATGTGAATATATAGTCTTTTTAATACATGTACACAAATTTATCTTAACACCATCTAATTGTTTAGAAAACACAAGGTGGAACTTGAGAGACAAGATCCGCGAAATGTTCCTCATAGACATGCAAAAGAATTTTCTAGATGGTTCGAAACACAAGTAAGTTCATCATGTATAAATTGGACTTAATTAATCAAATTCTTTTATTTAATGAAAATGATGTGTCATCATTTATTTAACACTACAAATTTTTTAATAGATCTTGAAAATGCGTCATCATCAAAAGGAAACAACTTGTGATGATCTGTATTCGCTAGCGTGTGGACCTGGATCTCTAGTAAGTCAATATTCTGCTTGTATTGTAGATGGGATTAGATTCCATACTAAGGAAAGGGAACAAAACCGACGAACGCAGAATTATGGTGTGTTATTGGAAGGAGAATGTGAAGATTACTATGGTAAATTAACAGGTATCATTGAGTTACGATATCCACTGGGTAGACAAATCTTCCTTTCAAATGTGATTGGTTTGATGTTAGGATTGGTATACATAAGGATACCTATTTTAAAAGCGTAAATGTAGCCAGTAGAGCTTACAAAAATGAGCCATTTGTGTTAGCAAATCAAGCAAAACAATGCTTTTACGTCAAAGACAACAAATTTCAAGGGACATGGGAAGTAGTTCAAGATATAACAAATAGAAGCTCATTTGATGTACCTGAAAAAGAGGGTGAAGCAGTAATAGAGGATGAAATGCTTAACACTGCAGCGTACCAAGAGAATGAACCAAGCATTGTGGATAGGATTGTTGAAGTGGACTTGGACATGGATCCATTCTCTTTGAACAGGGATGATTTAGAGGGTGAAACCCTTAATGCTGAAGTGATTGAAAAATGTAATGGTGAAGCAGCAAATAATGACGACTTTTGGGTTGACGAGGATGATGATGGAGATGACATTCAATATAGTTCAGATGAGGAACCAGAACTGTTGTCCGAAGATGATACTGATTTGGATGACATATGAAGCTTTGTATTGTTACGCATGTGCTGTATTTTTTTGGAATTATGATTAATACATTATGTGAACTTTATCTAGAATTGAGTTCCTTCTCTTTTTTAATATATTTATCTTTTAGTTTGGTTGTGTGCTTCATTATTTTTCTGATTTATTTAAACTAATCTTAGATCACTTGATTTATTTTCTATTTATGTTCTGAAGTAGCCAATATCAAATAATTACTCAGAATGTATTATGCATATGCTTGTTTATTTTGATTTAATATTACTTGATTCTTCATATCAGCTTGTAAACAGAATTATGGATACTTCTGAGGCACCAATGCATAGAATATTAAGGTCCAGCGTGACTCAAACTCGAACTGAGACACCATCTACAAGTTCAGCTGCCACGCAACCGAGTGGAGAAGCTGATGGTAGTAATTCAATAAGTCAACAGCCTATTATGGAAGGTGATGGTAATACTTCGCAGACGAGGCCACAACCAAGTGGAGGTGATAATTATGCTTCATCATAAATTAACTACAACATTTTTGTAGAATGACTATGTTTTAATTAAGTTGATAATTTTTTTTTTTCAGGCCCAGTACGAAAAGGGCGTGGAAAAGCAAAGAATATAGCCCTACACAAAGCTCAGGACCTCTATGGAAAGGATGTTCCAATTCCGGTAGAGTTTGGGACGGGTTATATTAAACCCGTTGGCAAAAATCACAATTTATGGACGGCTGAGGTTGGCATCCATGCGAGAGATAAAGAAGCATTATTGAAATATAAAACGTGGAGGGAAATTCCAGATTATGAGAGACAGGTCTGCTATGACCATTTTAAGGTAATGAGTTCTTTTATATTTTATATCTTTTTTTTTTTTTTTTTTTTCTTGAATGGGTATTTGTTTTTTATAAATATTCAAAAGAGGAACAATTACAGGAGGAGAAAATCTCCATTACATGTCATAAAGTGGAATTAATGGGTATTTGATTTTAGGAGTTTTTTTTTTTTTTTTTTTCTTCTTTTAAATATAAATCTGGAATTGGAATTTCCTAAATTGCATATTCACCCTCTGTTTAATTGAAGAGAAAATCTAATTTGGAATGAATTTATCAAGACATGTACTTTTTGTTTTATATAGTATTTTTCAAGAACTAAAAACTTGATTAGAGTAGACCAAATAGTTAATTGGGTTCAGTTGTGTTGCCCTTAAAGTTCAATGAACGCCCATTTTGCTACTTCTAAGGTTGCTGAATAAGTTGATCTTTTGTGCTAATTAACAACTAGTAACAGAGTAACACTAATTGTGGTCTATGCTTTTCCCATGTTTACATCTATTCAAGCTAACCTACTCACTATTCATTAGGGATGTCAATTTGACCTTCACCTAATGGGACTGATTTGGGTGTCTTCTAATTCGGTTAGGTGTGGGTTTGGACCAAGAATCAGTACCCGTCTGACCTTGATCCCATCCTGTTGGTTTTAAAATTATACACAAAAAGATATATGTATTTTTGTTCTTTTCATTATCTTTTCATCATCTTTCGGATTTGTAACCATAAAATTAACAGAAATGTATAATTATAATTGTTATATTCCTCTAACAAGTACAAAAGTCATAGCTCAACATAAAATTCCATAATGTCTACACTCCAAGTCTCTTCAAAGGCTTTCCATTAGTAGTGGAGCTGGAAAAAAAATGATACAAGAATTGGATCAAATTAAAGAACATCAATCAAACACAATTTAATCACTTGCAATCATTAAACCACCATATGTTCCAATAATTACCTTAAGTTTTATGCAGTTCTTATAGAACATCATAACATTTGGACAAAAGTTCAGCTACATTGATTGTTATTAAGGCATTAGTACATGCAGAAACTCATCAAGATTTAGTTTCAGAATCAATCTGGATGGAATCAAGCATTGTGATGGGCAAGCAAAGGAAAAGACAACCATGTAAAATAAACCTGTGCAAAACATTCTCTGATTACATTGGTCTGGCTGCATATAGAAGAACAAGTCCGGGTTGAATTCGGTGGTGAAAAAAAAAAATCCTAGGATTGATTAATGTTTTGTTTCATTGAGCACATTTATTAGCTTTATTCTTTATACTCCACAGAAACAAAAGGTGAAGTCCATGAAAGATTTGCAATTTCAGTATTGCTGCCATAATTTTCACTTATTTAGTTGTTTAAATGTTTCATGTGCAATTAGTAACATTAATCATTATATCTTGAAGACAAAGGATGATAAAAAGTTTTCTGCAATATAGCACAAATGAGTATACCAGAGATGAATGCAGGGAAGGCATATTGAATTGTTTGGGATCGTGTAGAGAGGAATAACGAGGATTTGTTGAGAGTATGTTTACAGAGATAAATTTCTTTAATTGATAGGAAGTTCGAAATCTGAGTTTTATTTTATTATTTTATAGTTTAGTTTCCCCCCAAAATTTAATTTCTACCCATTTCAATTGGGGAAAATAATCTTGGTGAGGAACTAATTTTTCTTTAATTTCAATTCTAATGTGTCAATTCGATCTATAATTTCAATTCTAATGTGTGATGCTATAAACATTTTTTCAATGTATTATAAGGGTTCTTTACTGTAAAATAAAGATATCAATCACATATATGAGGGGTCCAGGGAAGAACTCTAGTTTAAGAGAGTGAGATGCCACTCTCTTAAAATACTTGTTTTGTTGACTTGTTAGTTATTTTTCATATTTTCAATGCTATTTGTTTTGTGAATTATTGTGCTCTTTTTAACTTAAATTAAATGTCTATTATAAAGGTGACCTTTGGAGTGGATGCACATGACAATGAAACTGATTTCAAGCGAGTAACTAAGGAAATGTCCTAACGCTTGAGGAAATATAGATATAAATTGAAGAATCATTTTGACAAGCATCTTCCAATTGAGAATGCATGCTTGCATCCTTATGGTATTATTGATATTGATGTTTGGGGAAAAATGTGCGATTGGTGGACGTCACCAGAATTTCAAGTTCGGATTTTTAACCACTTGCTTTAAATTACTTGAAATCATTGATTATGATGCATTGATTGACTAGCTATTTATGTTTCTTAACTTGTATTATTGTTTGAATTGCTATGTAGAAAATAAGTGACAGAAATAAAGGCAACCGTTCGAAGAATAAGATTCCTCATGTTTCTGGATCGATGTCTTTCGCCAGATGCTATAATGTTTATGTACGTAATATTTATAATAATAATTATAAAATTTCCAACCATCTAAATCATATTTTGTGTTGCAGCTGAAAGAAAGTCAAGAAAAGCAAGAAAGGCAAAACGAAGAAGATGAGGAAGTTGAAAGTCCTGAGGAAGGTCCCGCTATTCGCATGTACAAGGACACACATTTTAGGGAAGAAACTAGATAGGTAAGCGAGATAGCCAAACAAAACTACATAAGTTTTTTCCCCCATTTTACTTTCTTTTTATTTTTCTTAATGTGTTATTATTGCCATATTGTTTGATAATAAGATTGCGTGTGTGTGTATGTGTAGTCAATTAGTTACAGTATATATACTTATATGCAGAAAGGTTATATCTAAATTAAAAACTTTACAAATTAAAAGAATCCGTGTGTAAAGTGATTTCAGTACAATGTATATGAATTGGGGCGTTAAGAGTGGTAATTAATCAGATGGGTTTGAGTTCATATCGCTCAAAAGCTAGACCATTGCCTAAGAAGATGGTGAGACGGCTGAATAGAAAAACTTGACATAATAATGTCTATTTTCTACCACGGTTCTCCACCGTGATAGAAAGTCTTTCTTTCTACCACGGTCCGTAACCGTGGTAGAAAGTGTTATATAATTTTTTTAAAAAATAATAGTTTAACCCTTATGAAGCCTCTTTTTTTTCTTCCCATGGTAGAAATAATGTGATAGTTTCTACCTCACATTAAGCCCATGCCATAAAGTGTGTATGTATATATATATATTAAATGGGTAACCTGTCGTCCAACAACATATATCACTCATATCCTACTCCACATACACAACCAAATTGCAACCAACGGCATATATATATACAACAATCACCTAAAATTAATCCCAAACATTCATTAAATAATTTGAAGTAAAAAGTTTCCATCATTGTGAAAAAAAGAACAATCACCAAAAATTAATCCAAAACATTCATTGAATAATTTAGAGTACAAAGTCTCCATCATTGTTAAAAAAAAGAAAACCAAGTACTAACAAAAGATTGCAAAAAGAAGTAGCATCGCCAAGCTTGCCCAACCATCTTCATTCACTGTGCCAACAAAGGATGATCACTAAGGAAGTTAGGCATGTGGTCACTAGCATTACCAGCATCACTGCTAACCCTGAAATGGATTAAAATTAAGATTGTGATCATTGAAGCAAAAGAGCTCCCTTAATTAACATGGTAAAAAACCAATATTGCAGTTGCTAACTAAATGCCAGTTGAACAAACCCTCTACCCAAGGTAAATAACCAATGTATTTATCTTAGAAGCCAGGGGAAAAAAATTACCCTTATGCTAGACAATACATAAGATCTAACAATGAACTATTCGTTGTTTTTATCACGAGCATAAACTCATTATTCTTTTATGGAATGGGTAAAAAAATTATGAACAAACCTTCTACCTAAGGTAAATAACAATGAACTATTTGTTGTTTTTATCATACATATCTTACATGTCCTGTTATTCTTTTGTGGAATGGGCAAAAAAATTATGCATTATAAGATTTGCTTAGATTCTAAAAAATTGAGAGGAAAGAAGAATAGATGTTTGTGTGTGTGTGTGTGATCCACGTAATACTGGGAAGAATAAGCCCAAATCTTAATAGAAAAATAAAGCCCATTATAATATATTAATACACATGTTAATATACAGACATCAAGAGATATATTACTAATAAAAAAAACTTTCACAACTAACTTTTAAATTTTAAAGTAGATAGAACTAGTTTGGCCCCCCAAACAAAAGTTGATGGGTCCACCCCTGATTCATAATAAAAAAAACCAAACCAATAAGATAACAAAACTGCAAATGTTAAAGACATCAATCGAATGAACACAAATACTATGCAGTATCCAGCAATGTCAAAAGCATAACCAGATCATTATGAACTTAACTATAATCGAAAGACCTTGGAGCCAACCATATCATAAATAGAGTTCCCTGGGCATATATTTCGATGCTATGCAGGTCTAATTAGGGGTATACAATGGACCATCATTTCCATCTTACCACCTTGGCAACAAATAAAATTCCATACATTAAAAAGGCTCAAAAATTATTCTGCATTATTACATATTATTTGGACCAGCTAGTTAAACCAATGAATTATGTATGTTTTCTAAAAATTATATATATATATACAAAAAAATCATTAGTTAAAACATAAAAGGAACCTCAATTGGGGAAGGAAATAATAAATAAACAAAAAGGAAAAGAAAACAGTTTTTCTTTCAATTGTTGAATAAGAGGGCTTTATTCAACAAAGAAAATGACCTTATCTAATTCAAATTTTCTTTCTTTTTGACACTTTTTTAGGACTAAAACCTGGCCAGATTCTTTTAGAAAGTTTAGTAGATCTATTGTTTTTTTATAACCTTTCTTCTCTTCTTTTCAAAGGAAGCGCCTGGTTTAATTAAATACTAATTTATCTTGCTATACCTATTTTGGGATATGTTACCAATAGTAATGGAATCAAATAAATGATCTAGGATGGTTTGTCAGCCATATTATATGGGACTCAGGTACTTGTGTCTTGAGTTGGTAAATGTCAAAGCAAGTAACTTGTCTAAGGTTGAATATATCAAATACCTAAATCTGAGGACACTGTTAAATAAGAATTATTATTGCCTTGGATGATAAGTCTTTTATGTGACATTGAGATATATGCATTCTTAAAAAGAATTCACAACATATGATGATGATGAAAAATAATCCACCAGTGCTGTAATAGGATTTAGAACTAAATTAAATTCAAAGAATGAAACTTCAAACTTACATCTGCTTGTTACATGATGATAGGAATTTCCTATAAATGCAAAGCACAACTTTTACGAGCCAAAATGCTCATTCCTCAAATCCTTATAAAATCTGTGCTCTAGGTAATCAGTAATCTGTATAAGAACCAACAATGGAAGTCACTTCAAAAAAAGTCATAGGCACTTTGCCAAGGTTACAAATTTTAGAGTAACTTTT